GGCGGGGCTGTTCTAGGGGCTGCAGAGCTCGGGCCTTGGCAAAGGGAGGGTCCGTGGGTGCCTTGCTAAGGAACGTGGCCTTCATTCTCTAAGTCTGTGTTTTTCTTTTTAATTTTTTCATTTTTAAAAATATATCCATTTATATTGACTTCAGAGAGAGGAAGGGAGAGGGAGAGAGAGAAACAGCTGAGTCATTGATTGGCTGCCTCCTGCACGCCCCCTACTAGGGATCAAGCCCTGACCGGGAATCGAACCCTGACCCGCTGGTTCATGGGTCGACGCTCAACAGCTGGGCCTTTCTTCTTTTTTATTAAGATAGAATTCATGTAACAAACCTTTTAAAGCCAGCAATTCAGTGGCATTTGTTGTATTTACAATATTCTGCAACTATCACCGTGATAGGTCTGACACATCGTCACCCTAAAGGAAACTCTGAAGGGGGTGGGGGCCCGGGCCTTACGGGGTGTTGAGGCCATTTCCTTGAAAATCCCTTCCCCCCCGGGATACAGCAGCCAAAAGCATCACCAGAGGTGACTGGCCCACTCCCTTGCTCCCTGGCTGGCAGCGGAGTAAGTTCCAAACTCCAATGGGAGACGGGAAATGGGGAGTGACTGCTAATGGGGGACAGAGGTGTTTTTTTTGAGTGATGGAAATGTTCTGAAGCTAGATAGTGGTGATACGAATTTATAAAAAGCATGGAATTGTACACTTTAAAATGGTGAGTTTTATGCTTGGGGATTATATTTCCATTAAATAAAAAAGCACCGCACCCTCCCCCCGTTGTACCTGGGAAGCAATAATTGGCTTTTTGTTGGTGTGGTCATAGCTGGTTCCACCAAGTAGAGGCCAGGCCTGGAAGACGAGGCAGGTCGGTGAGCCAGGAGGGCACGTCCGCGTTGGCTCAGGGGAGACAGATGGTACCGGGTGTACTGGCAGCTGCCCTGGGGCACAGGGGCCCTGGGGGTCGGTCGGCCAAGACTAGATTATGCCCAGACTTGAAGGTCAGACCTAGGAGTTTGGACTTTAGCTTGTTGGCGACCAGGGAGCCGTGGGAGGTGTTGGGAGTGCACCAGGCAGGGTTGGTGATGGCTTTGGCTGCTGTACCCCGGACGCCGCCCAGTGTCTCCCAAAGGCCACAAGCCCTGGGAGCCGGCGAGGGGCTGGGGGAGAAAGGATGAGGGGCGATGCTGCCTGGCGTCCCTGCTGCAGGCGGCTAAGCCTCCCCTTGTCCCCTTCAGATCCTGGTGAAGACCATGATTCGAAAACGCTCCTTCGGGAACCCGTTTGAGGGCAGCCGGCGGGAGGAGCGCTCGCTGTCGGCGCCCGGAAACCTGCTCAGGTGAGTGTCTGCCTTGCTGGGGGGGACCTGGGGGCGCTGCGTCCAGCCCACCCCGCCTGGGCCCCTCCCCGGAGCGGCTCGGACCAGATCCGGGCTCCCTGGGGGGTCAGAGCGGCTGCTGGCTGTGGTTCACCCCACCCTGGGCCCGGCCGCCTCCTGTGGCTCGTCCACCCTGATTTGACCTTTCTCAGGGGGCTCGCACTTTAACTGGGGAGCGCTTGACAATCAGAAAGCACTTCCGTGGCCCAGAAGCAGGCGTGCTTGATAGTGAGGTATTCGGCCCTGGGCTGGGTGAGCAAGCCTGTGTCACTCATGGGACCCTACTTGTCACGACGGAGCGGTGTCCTCATAGCCTGCCCGGCAACAGCTCTGTCAAGCTGCTGTTTGGGGTCTGAGAGTCTCGGGGTGGGGGATGGGCATCCCGTGGACCCCAGCTGTCCCTTCTCACTTCCGTTTTACCTCTCCTCTGGCAACTCCAGCAAAAAACCAACCAGGGAGTGGGAGCCCCTGTCTGAGCCCAAGGTAAAGCCTGCCTGCCTGCACAGTAGCCTCTGCCGGGGTCCAGGGGCGGGGCAGCCGCCGAGCACCGGCATCCCACCCGCGGGCCTCCCTTCCTGCTGTGCCCGGGCTCGCCTCGGGCCTCGGGCCTCTGGGCCCGGGCTGGGAAAGGAGGCACCCAGGGGCTTGGGCCGGATGGCGGGCCGTGCATGTGAGCTGGGGCTGCGGGTGCATGGCGCTCCACCCGGAATGCCTGTGAACTCACCCATGTCCTCCGACCCAGCCCGGCACCCACATATGCTCAGCACCCGTCAGTGGCATCGAAGCTCTTGTCACGGGGCCCTGGGCTGCCCCTGCTCTGGGCGGCATGGTCAGGGCAGAGATCGGGCATGCTGCATCTGTGGCTCTCCGGCATCCGCCCTTTCCCCTCTGATGGGTTGAGACCTAGAAAGGAAGGCCCCTTCCCGCCCGCTGCAAAGGAGTGTGGGAGCCTTTTGCCTCTGGGAAGGGTCTGGACCCTTTCCCCCTGTTGACCATCAAACATAAACCCACGTCAGGGTTACCAGCACCTTCTAGGACAGGTGAGAATTTTTGTCCCTGTAAGACTGACGTGACAAGTGGCACCCCTTCTGCCACTCATCCCTCCAGTGCCTGTGGCAGGGTAGCAATCCCCATATTCTTTCCACTGGGCCTGACTCGCCACCTCTACCTCCGTTGGGAACTCCAGGCAGCCACTTCTGTGATTTAAATGCAGCTTTATTGACATATAATTCCCATACCGCACAGTTCAACAGAGTGTATAATTCAGTGGTTTTTGTCTTTTAATTTTTTTATTTATTGATTTTAGAGAGAGAAACATCGATGTGTAGTTCCACTTACTTTTGCATCATTGGTTGATTCCTGTATGTGCCCTGACCGGGGCTCGAACCTGCAACCTTGGCACATCAGAACGATGCTCCAACCACCTGAAATGCCTACCCAGCCAGGGCCCAGTGGTTTTTAATATAGTCACAGAGTTGTGCAGCCACCCAGCTCTTGCTACCAGCCTCAGAAGGCTGCCTCAGCCCCTGCCGGATGTTCCCAGAGGGCTGTGCAGCAGGCGACAGGGTGGCCCCTCCCATAGTGTGAGCCTCACGGGCGACAGAGGCCTTTTCTTCTCAACCTCAGCTTTAGGGTTTGCCTTCTGTCTGTGCGCAAGACTGTTGTTTTCATTTTTTTATTTTCAATGAGATCAAAATTGCAAGACATCAACAGATTGAAATTGGTCCAAAGGGCTTTACCGCCCTTTCATTCCTTCATCTGCAGTTCCAGCAACACCCGGGGGGGACCTGCCCTTGCCCTCAGCCCACAGGAGGGATGCTTTGGTTGCCCAAATGGTCCAGCACTCTTGACCCGTAGGGCTTAGTCAGTTGTCGGAGGCCTTGGCCCCAGGTCCCACCAGCCATCTGCAGCAGGACCGGTGGCTAGAGCAGAAACTGAGGGTCTGCTTGGGCATCGAGTGACAGCCTCTTCCTGGGAGAGTTGACCTCTCTTCTTTGGCAGAAACGTAAAGCCACTGTGTGGTTTTTAAACAAAGAGAGTTTCTTCCCAGGAACGTACAGACATTGCGCTTTCCCTTCTCCTTGTGCAGAGGTAGTTTCCCTTCTGGCCAGCGGCACACAGTGGACACCAGTCCTGTGTGACAGGCCCAGGGGCTTCCCTTAGAAGGGACAGCTTTGCTTGATGGTGGCAGGGGTTTCGGGCCCCTCCTTCGGGATTTTCCCTTGCATCTCCATCGCTGCACCCATGTCCATCACCCGAGGGAGGTGCTTTGGGATGTGGTCTCTCCGGGACACAGGGACACTCCTCCTCCCACCAGCCTGGTCTGTTCTGGTCTGGTCTCTCACGTTGCCAAGAACAGGGCCCTTCTCTTTGTCGGGGGTGTCCCTTGAGCCTGTGTGCTGGGGCAGTTCTGTTTTCTGTTGACAGCTGTTTCCTGAAGGCTGGCTGTGTGCCCGGCCAAGCCCAGGGGATCCTCACTGTCCCCAAGAAGTTCACCTGATGACAGAAGACAAGTGTCACGGTTCCTGCCCTGCAAGAGCTTATAGCCTAAAGGAAGGGGGGGGTTTGAGATAACAAAAAACCGCAAAGTGGGGCGCACGCAGTACTGATCCGTGCCATAATTTTAGGTGTCACCCACGTGGGTTTGCATGCATTTTTATAGTTCCTCCCTGTTGTTGGCACTTTACGCTGTTTTTTCCATTTGCACGAGATACAAAGGTCTCCTTTGACAATTATACGTAAGCAAGAAAAAAGGGGTGGGGGAGAGAATCTAAAAGACAAAGTTAAGGCACTAACTGCAGGCGGTGCAGGAACCGGAGGTGCTGGCTCCGGGCTGTGCCAGCATCGCTCGCTCTTAACCTTGTTTTCTGTTTGGTGGCAGGAAGCACGGCAGCGACGACAGCCTCCGGGCGCCCGACCGGCCCCTCGAGGGGGAGGAGGAAGTGCTCCTGTGAGAGGCTGTCCGCGTGTGGAGAGTTGGGGGGCCCCGGGCCCCCGCCATCGAACGCGCATGCATCCTCTGCGGCCGGACGGCGCGACGGAGTAGCTGCTGGGCGCCGCGACCTCGCATGCTGGGCGTCCCCCCGGGCTGCGCCCCGCGTTTCCATAGCAGCATGTCCTACGGAAACTGAGCACGTGTGTAGAGCCTTGCCCGTCATCTCTGGTGGTTGTTTTTTGTTTGTTTTTTAATTTTTTATTTTTTTCCTTTGTTGTTTTAAAGGGGACAAAAAAAAAACCCCCCCACAAAACCCACAAAACACTCCATGACATCGACCTTGGCCGCTGGCTGGCTGAACAGGCTGGTGTGAGGACTTGCAGACCCAGAGCCGTGTGCGTTTTGGGACAGTTTGCTTTTTAAAACGTTTTTATGCCAAAAATCCTTCGTTGTGACCTCGGAACCGTGTCCGATACACCGAATGAACGTGCGTGGGGTTTGGAGATCGTGAAACGCCGGCGGAAAACTCTGGCGGCGTGGCCGGAGACCACCGAGGCAGGGAGTCGCTGTGTTTGAAGGGGGCAGGCAGAGGGGATGTGACTTCTGCAAACCCCAAACCTAAAACCACACCACCTCCTGCAACCAGGCAGCAGGGCAGGGCCCTCGGTAGCTGCAGGGAGCTTCGATGCAACTGACTTGCAAGAAGGACTTTTAACTTTTTTTTTTTTTTTTTTTTACGGCTGGAGTCCTAGTCAGAAAAACAGAAAGGGCTTGATGTTTCATTGCTTCACAAGGGGGGACTTGCAACCCTAGCAGGGCATTTGGGGTCTCGGTGGGAGACGTTTCACTTGAAGGACTTGAATGCATTTCTTTGTGACGGCCACTGAAAGTGGATTTCTGAAAGAGGCCACTGAGCTCTCTCAGTGACTCTCTCGTTCAGTTACAAAAACATCAGGGTGAGATCCTACACTTCCATGTATATTACATGGCTTAAGAGTGAACCGACAAGCAAAAATTTTCAATTCTCCAACTAGACTGAACTCCAGGGTAGTTCAGAAACCATGTAGAGCTTCCAGGATCTAGTCCACGGCTTCGGAACGCGAGCCACTGAAACCCTCGCTTGTGCATTAGCGTCTTAGCCTGTGTGTAACCTGCGTGTTCTCGAGACTGCGGAGGTTCTGTTCTCTTAAATACTAGCCGAGTGTCGTAGTTAGTGAAAGCGTTTCCAGTTTCCGCAGGGCCAGTTAGGAAATACTTTCATTCGTAGCAGCAAAGCTCTGGTAGGATCCCCGGGACAACTCAAGATCTTCGGGGCCCCCTCTTCCGAGGAGGCTGTTGAAATCCAGGGTCCAAGGAAACTGGGGCTTGGTACAGGACCTTCCCTTTTGTAGCTGAGAGTCCACGAAAGAAAAGGCTAATCTTTTTGACTTCCCTTTAATGGGAAGTTCGGTGCAACTTCTTCCAGAGCCTCGTGTGGGTGAGGCTGAGGTTCAGAGGGTAGGAAAACGGGGAGGACTTTGCCCGGGGAGATTTCCAGCGCTTCGTGGAACCCAGCTTGGGGGAGGTAGGAACAGGGCTCAGAAGGATGTGCTTTCCTGTGGTTTCTGTGTCGTCAGCCTGGGTACGAGGACTTTTTGCAGAGCCAGAGAGGCAAGGGCGCGGGCCCCTCCCTGCCCCGGCATTCTTTGGCTTCCGTAGACCTTGACTGTCAGCTCCTGACTGTCCTTTAGCCAGACTTTTCTTGCTCTCATGTAACAGAGGATACCCGCCTGATGGAGGGTCCTCGCCTGCTTTACTTTCTTTTTGTGACCTGCTGCCTCCTCTTGGCCTCCCTCCTGTGCTTGTTTAAATCTATGGGCCCCCCCTTCCGGCGGGTTCAGTCTGCGGGCCCCTGGGCTGGGCTCCAGCCTGGCGGGTGCTCGGCCCGGGCAGGGTGGGCAGCGCCCAGAGCTTCTGCAGAGCCCCCGTGTTTACACAGCCTCACCGGGCAACGCCGTGTTCCCCGGAGAAACCCCGTGGAAGGTGTCACGGCCAACTGCCGGCCATCAGGCAGCACCGGCTGTTCAGGCGGGTAGGTTGGGGGAGGCCCAGCTTCATAATTTCTTTTTTTTTTTTTTTTTTTTTTTTTTTTGGGAAAAAT